CTTCTTGTGACAAGTCGCGCGGTGACATCATGTGCTAACAATAGCTGCAGTTAGAATTAATGGCCATCTCCATACCCTGGCATTTCATTTCCAACACTCTGCAGCACAGATAATATTCCTTTGACGGCAAGTCACAAGGATTAGGGACGCCGTGTTCCCGAGAAGCAGGCGGGGAGAGAGCTCTACCTCAAGTAGAGAGACACGACTCAGTGAGCCTGACAGGAGGAATGAGAGGCAGCCGAGCCGGGTGAAGCTGGGGTCATCGGAAGCAGAAATTCTCTGGCCACGAGGGTCTCCTGGAAGGGCTAGGACTCCCCCCTTTCCCCCATGTCAACCTCTTTCCTGTTCATTCTCCTTTTCATAGCATAATACCCCGATTCCTTTAAAAAAGATTTTTGTTGATTTCAGAGAGAGGAAGGGAGAGGGAGCGAGAGATTGAAACATCAATGGTGAGAGAGAATCACTGATCGGCTGCCTCCTGCACGCCCCCTACTGGGGATCGAACCCACAATCCAGGCATGTGCCCTTGACTGGAATTGAACCCGGGACCCTTCAGTCTGCAGGGGGATGCTCTATCCACTGAGCCACACCAGCTAGGACAATATCCCAATTCCTGCAATTGCTTTACAGGGTCCTTCATCAGCAGCATGCTCTAAACTGAATCTTTTTAAAAAATTATATATTTTTATTGATTTCAGAGAGGAAGGGAGAGGGAGAGAGAGAAACATCAACGATGAGAGAGAATTATGGATCGGCTGCCTCCTGCAAGCCCCACACTGGGGATTGAGCCTGTAACCCGAGCATGTGCCCTGACTGGGTATCGAACCCTGAACTCCTGGTTCTTAGGTTGTCACTCAACCACTAAGCCACATTTTTTGTGAATCTTTAAAGAGCGTTTGTGTTTTATTCACCTTGTCATTTCTACATTGTCAGACATGGTGGGTACTTAGGGTTGGTTTGTTGAATGGGTGAAACCACCCAGATTAGAACTGTTGCAATATCTTGATAAAGGTCTTGCAGCAGATATTGTAACAGTACACACACACACACACACACACACACACACACACACACACACATTTAAAAACGCATAAACTCCACAATAAGGCAACTCAATTTTTAAAACCAGGGAAACAAATGTGAACAGCCATTGCAACAAAGAAGATATACAAGTGGCTAATGAACATATGAAAGGTGCCCCACGCCCTTAGGCCCCAGGGAAATGCAAGTGAAACCACAACTAGATGCCATGTTACAGCCGCAGGATGGCTGGAGCCAAGCAGGCAGACCACAGAAGTGTTGGTGACAATGTGCCGCAATTAGGGTTCTCACGCGCGCCTGGTGAGAATCAAGGTGGACTGGCCACTTTGGAAAACGATTTTACAGTTTCCTCTAAAGCTCTCCATCTACTTACCATCTGGCCAGCGTCCCACTCCTGGGCAAACGAGCAGTGCAAACACATGTGCACAGAAGACTTGACACCAGTCCTTACATCAGCTTTCATCGAAATAGGTGAGAACCGGAAGCCACCCAAAGGCCAAACGCCCATCTGCAGGCGCCTGGACACACAACTCGGCACAGCCAGACGTGGGCTGCTGCTCAGTAATAACAAGGAATCGTCACCTGAGATTCAGAGCCACATAGATGAACCTCACAAGCACAATGCCGACTAAAATAACCACTTGGTTCCGCTTACGTGAAGCTCTGGAGCCTGCAACATGAATCTCTATTTCAGAAAGCAGGTCCTTGGTGGCCTGGAGTGGGGGGCGGGGAGGGGACCCCTGTCAAGGGGGCCTGAGGACACTTTCCGGTGGCAGAAAAGTGATACATCGCGATTGCGGTGGTGATTACATGGGCGGGTACACTTACTGTACTTACTGAACTGTACACTTCAAACGGGTGCATTTTATTGTAAGTAAACTATATATACCTCAATCAACTTGATTTAAAAGGACAAAGGGCCCAGCCGGCATGGCTCAGGGGTTGAGCATCTATCTAGGAACCAGGAGGTCACGGTTCGATTTCCGGTTAGGGCACATGCTTGGGTGGCGGGCTCCATCCCCAGTGTGGGGCGTGCAGGAGGCAGCCGGTCCATGATTCTTGCTCATCATGGATGCTTCTCTCTCTCTCTCTCCCTCTCCCTTCCTCTCTGTAAAAAATCAATAAAATATATTTAAAAAAATAAAAAGGAAAGCTGTAGGGCGAGAACAGATCCCTCAGTATTGAGTGTCAGGCCCTGCGGCCCGTTGGGCAGTATGTGTGTGAGTCATCATCACTGCACAGCCCAGTGTCTCCTTCCTTTTGGTTGCTGTGCACTGTTCTCTCTGGATGGTTCTGCTGTTCAGCATTTGAAGTTGTTCCC